CCAGCGCTCACTTGTCTGTGGATAAAAGATAGAAACACCCCAAAGGGTACAGATGCCCCCACCAGTGGGCGAGTGGTCTCCGTTACCGCTCATAGCGGTGACCAGACCCTAAACACTGGGAAGTTCGGAAGGGACAGGCTGGCTGCTTGGAGTTTTCCGGGTTTTCTCCTTGCCAATAACGACTGAATAGGAGGCTAGTTCCCCATAAAAGTCCTCCCGGAAGGCATTATTTCCCGCGCGTACGTATAGGCCGTTCGGATACGGGCTGACAAATCGGTCGCATAGCGATCATACACACACAAGTCTACTCGGAGAAAGAGCCTAAATTGAGCTAAAATCTCCATATAAACAACACCGAAGAAGTAATGAGATGAAAAAAGGGTACAGATTATAGAAGGAAAGACATTCGAAAACCACCATTTTAGAAAATATTAGAAAATTTTAGAAAATTTCCGATTTTAGAAAATTTTTGTATTTTTAATTGGAAGTGTTTTTTAAAGGACTTCTAAAAGCCTGGAAAGGAAGGTCGGTCGCCGAAATTGTTTCGTCTAGAATGCAGAAAACTAATAAATGGTGATTCCTACTTGGACGAATTGTCTTCAAATAACAAAAAATGGAAACTTTTATACCGCAATATTAATAGAAGAACAGTCAAGGTTTAGGAGAAAAAAGGTCGTGTATCGGTAATACATTCACACTTAATCAAATAAGTGTCCACCAAAGAGACGTTAATTTAAAAACCACTTGGCCTTTGCAAATAAGAATTATAAATATAACCATAAATCCGTACGTAGGTTGTTTAGTTTTTTTCTTTCTCCACAGATGGCGTGACTTCATAACACGTGGAATTGTTTAGTATTTAGAATTTTTTTTTCATTATTTTTGTCGTTATTAATATTAGTTTTCATACTCTCATGCTCTTATATTGTTTATTAATGTTATTAATTATTATATTGTCCTAAGTCCAATTGTTGGTCAGATGGCGCTACTTTTTCTCATTCTGCGTTACCATTTTTTATTTAACAGCTTAGTACAATTGAACCTCGTTTAACGAGCACTTCGAATAACGAGTGTTTCTCATAACGAAAAAAACGAATTTTTTTAGGTCTAAATGACACGAGCGAAGTTTCGCATAACGAGCGAAGTTTCGCATAACGAGTGATAAGGAGAGGGGAAGTCCTGGATTGTGCGCTTTAGGGTTTCTCAAACGGGTTCCTGTGATCCCGGTTGTTTTTTTTTAACCCAGAAAATATCTTGTAAAGTATCTTATCACCCTGGGAAATCTTGCAAATTTCTTGAAAATTTATTTTTTATTATTTTGTGTTACGGTTCAGGAAATTTTGCAAATAGAAAGTATAATTAACTTATAAACGATCAGAATACATTTGTATTTATTAATTTTAAACCTACATATTACTTTTTCAAATTTTTGCTCGTAATGGCATGTCACAAATAGTCAATAATCAAAATGTGGCTTTTTTATGGCAAGATTCAAATTCTTTACTTGTCATCGGTACCTGTAATATCTGGAATAATTGTGCTTATGCTGTCTTAATATTTAGCCTTGCCCAGTAGCTTCAATAAGTGCATGATGCCAGTTTGTGCAAATTAGGCAAGGATACAAACCAGTATGAAGTTTGCAAGTATGAAGTGTTTCTTCATAAACCTGATTATTAAAAACAAACGAACTGCCGAATTATTGGGCTGTTTCTATTAAAGCAGCCAAGGTAAACAAATCATGAATACTAGAGAGCAAAAGAAGTACTGTACTTGTGCGCTTGGAGCAGATGAAAGTATCACAGAAGACATTTTATTCACTTTCTGCAAACACCACAGGTCAGTGTTTGTACGACATGTTTTTAGAGAGCACTCGCAACTACTAGACTGATTGGACAAAATGTGTCGCCATTTGTAGCGATGACGCTAAAGTTATGACTAGACAAGAAAGAGGACTCGTTGTAAAATTAAAATCAATAATGCCAAATGTCTTATGGACACACTGCTTCCTTCACCGACATGCTCTGGTAGCCAAGATTTTACCTTCTGATTTAAATGACGTGCTCAAATCACCTTAAAGAGGTGATCAAAATTGGAAACTATATTAAAGGTAAAGAGTTGCAAACCCGACTGTTCAGAATCATTTGTGAAGACGTGGGTTTGCTCCATCAGAATCTGATCTTACAGAGGTCAGGTGGCTATCCAAAGGGAAGGTATTGACAAGAGTTCTAAAACTGAAAACTGAATTGTTATTGTTTTTACAAGGTGCTAAATCTGAATATGCAAATTATTTATGTGATCCTGTTTGGCTCCTAAAATTAGCATTTCTTGCTGATCTTTTTAGTCACTTAAATATTTAAAAAAACTCCAAGGGAGAGAAGAAAACATTCTGACAGCTAAAGATAAAATCAAAGGATTCTTCGCAAAATTTGTTTGTGGTCAACGTCATTGCAACAAAATATATATGACTATTTCCCTTGTATTCAGAAGGTTGTCGAAGAAACTGCAATTGACCAATTGTTAGTAGTAAGTTCTCACATTCCTTGCACGATACAGAGCTTGCATAATTTGAAAGAGAAACTATTAACTTACTTTCCAAAACTGGACTCTAAAGCTGACAATGGATATAATCAAATCTTTTCATGGCTATGTCAGTACAACTGGCTGATCTAACCACGAAGATGAAAGAAAATCCTATAGCTTTAGCTGGTGACGACATGCTTAAAATGGAATTTCATTCGCAAGATATTGACGTCTTCTGGATGAAGAGAAAACAAATGTATCCAGAACCGGCAAAAGAGGCTTTAAATTTATTAGTGCCATTCGCTACTTATTACCTATGTGAATTAACGTTCTTTTGAATGGTGGACATAAAAACTAAAAAGAGAAATAGGCTTCAATTAAAAAATGATTTAGTTATTTTCGTCTCGAAAATAGAACCACATTTCGACAAATTACAGCGGACCACCCCATAACACGGTAGATACGTTCTGTTTTTTATGAACTTCATGTTGTACGAGTCCTTAGATACATGAGCCAATCACAGCCCGGCACGTACGCAGTTTACGGACAACGGCTGTTCGAAAAGTTTCTTCCATAAAATTAATCGATTCTAGACTAATCCGACTCAACATTTACAAAACACGTATAATTTTTTGAGAATAATCCATATAAACTACGCTATAAACAAAAAATTGTAAGATAACTTACCGAGTATGCACTGTTCGACAACGCCATTGTTTAAGCTTGTTTTCGTCGTGGAGTGGCGCATCGAAATTGCTGATTGAAAATAAATTATCCATTGCTTTATTAAATACATTTCTCTTATTAGTGAAAACAAATTGTATACTTTTCTTAACTTATGGAACATAACATTTATTTTACATAAGTCCTTTGTTTCTTATATCACAGATTCGCATTATACGACACTTTTTAGGAACGTAACTAACGTGATACATTACAAATACCTGTATATCATTAGGCTGCCAGTTTTACATTATAGACTTATACATTGCCGCAATCATCTGTCTCTGTCTATAACTTTGCCCATACTGTCCTTCGTTAATCTCGAGAACAGAGTAATTTAATACATGAAAATCAAGGCAAGAAAGAAAGAGCTTAAGGTCCAAGTCAACCGACTAACGGTACTAAAAACTTTGATGTGGACCGGAAGTCACGTAATTTTTTAAATATAAAATAATTAAAAACATCAGGCATTGTGACGATTCTCGTTTATAATCAACAAGCATTATTTTATCTATCACAAAATTTTTAAAAAATTTAAAAAATTTTTGAGTCGCAATTTGAAAAAAAATTGTGAACCTATAAATTTCCAGTCTGTTTTGTTTATCTGTCTGATAACTGTCCTATTGTTAAAATTACCAAGTTTACCAATAGACGAAAATACTCTAAGTTTCAAATTTATGTTAAGTAAAATGTTATAAGTCAAAGAACCGACTCAATTTCGAGTTCATTTCTGAATTCGAAAATAATTTAAACTGGAAATTGATATAGGAAAAGTATATATTTGCTAGTTCATTTATCGAAAAACCTATTACACACACATAATAAATTCTAATTTCAAAACATCAAGAATTAGACAAAGAAATAAATAATTTGTGAGGGTCTGTTTAGGCAATGTGCAGGTTAAATTTGATATTCAGGGAGCTTGACGTAAGAAATCGATTTCCGTACAGATATAGTATTCTATGAAATTTATCTGATTTAACGTTTATTAATCAAAGAGATGATGGCAAATCCAAGACAAGATGGAATATAACGGTAATAGACTTAAACGCCTAACTTAAGCAAGAATAATGATAATAATTACATACTTTAAATTTTTTTGCAGATACTATTTATATTATAATCAAGACATTTCACTCCGTGAATCCGTATAAACAATTTGGAAACAAAAGAAAGTTTATTGCTTTGATTTTTACTTCAGTGTTCTCATTTTTGCTCTCACTGTGACTTATAGTTTTCAACTGCAGAACATCAATCTTTAAATTTGATGTATTGTACTTGTAATTCTGTTGTAAAAATTGTATTTCATTTATAGAATACAATTTTTTCCTTCTATAATATATAATATCGTGTTAAGTTTTTGGACTTTTTTTTTTAGCAATTGTATACGTTTCATATAACAGGCGAGCAGGGTTTATCGAACTCTCTGCCATATAATCATAGTGTTTCTGTTAATAGAGGTACTGTACATATTAATTTTTCAAATATTTTAAATGTCTTTGTTAAATTTAAATTCGTATAATTTTCATTCTGTAGCTTATCAGAAAAATACTAAAATAAAATACATGTATTTTGTATCCAACCCATCATTAACTGAATTATCTACGTTCGACCCATTACATAAAATACAGATAAATACGAACAACAGATCGTTAACAACAATTTAATTTACGTGAACTTAAATATGAGAAATGATCAATGTGATAAATAAATAAAATGCAAGAAACAGCAAAACATAGCATTATTGTGAAGCAGATTTAATAACAATAATTATAATACATTTTATTCTCATTCATAAATTACAACTTATGAATAAATTTCGATACAGTTTTTAAATGCACTCGTCTAGATTATATGATATAGCCTTTTTTCATACATATTTGTAATAAAAATTATCCCAACGTTTATGTTATTTCATATCTTACAACATATATCTTTTTTCTACACACATTCTTATACCTAATATTGGGGTCAATATACTTTCAAAAGAGGTAACGATCTTATCTTGAGGATCCAAAGAGTAAACTTTAAAATTTCGAAAAACATTTGCTAAAATAGTTTTCATTTTAATCATTGCACTTTTACTTGCTGTAAATAAATCATTTTAATGAATATAATTCTTTTGTTTTTGTATTTATTCACTAATCACCTACCTAAACAATTTCGTGGACCGGCAGAAAATGGCAGAAATGCATAAGGATGAAGCATTTTATAATTTTCAAATAGAAAACGGTCTGGATCGAACACTTCGGGATTTTCGTAAACAGCAGGATTATGATGAATACCATAGATATTTATGACAAGAGTCGAATTTGCAGGCAACACGTAATTACCTATTTCAATGATAACGGTTTTATGATTCAAATCAATATCAAATACAAAATATTATTATTGAAGAACAAATTACAAGATGTTAAAAAATTACCTATTTTCATTTTCGATGGATTTTTTCTGGCAATCAAAGGGAAAGGAGAATAGATTCTCATCGACTCCTGAAATTCGTAACATATAAATCTAATCTTTAAGTGTGTTTAAAAAAATTAAAAAGTTACCTTTATCACGCATTCTAAGTAAATCATTTTCGTCAGGTCATCGATAGTAATATCTCTACTCATATCATTTTTGAAAATTTCTTGCAACTCTAGATACACTTTCTCTTGTATTTCGTGGAATCTTCCCAGGAAATAAAGAGCCCAGGACACAACGTGGGCGGTTGAGTCGTAACCCTGATATTAAAATTCGTTGAATATGAGTGTAAAATTGCTTTCTACATAATTGACATTTGCAGTAAAATAAATACTGTATAACAAACTTGTAAAATTAGGATATAACATGGACAAATACCGCTATTCTTTTATATTCCTGTCATACCACTTTATAATTTACAACCAGATTTCTTGAAGAAAGTGATTGCCGCGGATCTACCGATTAATTTTAATTAGAAAACAAGTTTGAAGCTTTCAAACTGGACAGAAATGTAAACAATGACACAAAACATTCCCGACGTACAAATTTTACATTTTCGATTCAAAAAGTTATTTCTAACAATATAAAAGTAGATAATCATCAATATCAAAATACAATACCTGCCCCGATTAGGAAATGTTTCGGTTATTCGGTTATTATAGATTTCATTTACTTCGGATTACAAAATTTTTCGGTCATTATCTCAGATATTACTTGCTTTGAATACACTTGTGTTTACTTGTGCTTTGAATTCTTTAATTGTGCTTTGAGCACTTTCAATTTATTCGAAAAAATAAATTGCTAACAGATAATAACTTCCGGAACTGATTTACAATTTAACAAACTACTATTTTACATAATCATTATAGAAACCGCATTCGATATGAAGTTGGTAAAGTAAAGTACGTCTATTCTTTTTCACCCGAATTTCTCGCTTTAATTCTACGTAATAATATGCTTTGAAATGTTTAAAAATCATCGATAGATACACACTTTTAATTTCACAAAATTATACTTTTCCTACGTGTAAATAAATAAAGAATATATAGAGTAATTTGTAAACGTTTTGTTCGATATTCAAAATGTTGCCTGTGATATTTCACATAATAAAAATATAAAAAGACAAAATTCAGATTTTAAAACTATAAATTTTTTGAAGTTAAAAATTATAAATTAATCCGAAATTACAAATATTATTTACTATAGAGGAAAAGGTGGTATTATATTGCAAGTATTATGGAACCACTCCATTTCGAACTGATAATAAAGGCGAACTGTAGCGGATTTTGTCTGAACTGCACTAGGCAGACATTCATAGCAAGGGGAAAACCTCGCTAAGCGATAAGGGCCTGTACACGGCGTAACATTGAATCAATAAATGAACAGAATTATCCGATTGCAGAGACAACGTTTAGAGACCGACGGCGGTTTACAGATCGAGTAGGCCGCTGTTCAGAAAAATTTCATTGCAGAGGCAGCGTTTCTTGCCTGCTCAATGTAGACAGTGATTAGAAACACGTTATTTGACTTATTTTCTAGACTCACTGGACAGTGGGTTTAGAAGGCTTTTCAATTCGAGTGGTAGTATTGTTCGCGGAAAAGTTTAGATAAAAACAGATATCGTTCCTTGATAAATGTTGTAAACGGTACTAATTGACAAAATTATTCATTAATTAATTGCTTGGAGCAAAAACAACAAAATTAAATACTTTAAATTCGTTTTACATGTTCCAATTTCTATATTTAAATGGATGAAAACTTAAAACTTTAATTAATGAGAGCTGCCCCCTGGTGACGATATTTGTAGATTTTCATCTGTAAATTTTTTGTCCGATGGAGATTATTTGGTTGTCCCATTTCTTATAGGGCTAAATCAGCCGCTAAATGACAGACAGCTCTTGTACTGTTTAAGTAAAGTCTCATTGTGTGCCGAACCAATTGTACGAGTGAGTCGCCGGCCAATGAAATTCCAGATATTCTCGATGGACGACTTATCTCGGGAATAAGCAGGCCATGGAATAAGCGAAAAATCTGTTATGCACTGAAGAAGGCTTGTGCAGTCAGAGAAACATGTGCACGGACATTATCCTGCTGAAATACAGCACCCAGAATGCGTCAAAAAAGAAGAAGAGGGAGGACATCTGGCTTCAGAATTTCCCCTATGTAACGATCACTGTTGAGGTTGCCCACAAAGTGCACTAGATGGGATCGAAAATTATACACAATAGCTCCTTACACCATGATGCCAGGCGTTTGTGCTGTATGACGCTGGATAGCACATTGTGGGAGCAGACTTTCCTTCTGTAAAGTCTGACGCGTACTCTTCCGTCATTGTACTGCAGATTGTAGCGAGATTCGTCAGAAAAAACAACTTGTTGCTACTGAACACGCCACGCGCTGTGTTGCTGAGCCCATTGAATGCGAAGGCATCTGTGAATCAGCGAGAAAGGAATCGTGCATAGAGGAACCCTTGCACGCAGTTCATGCTGCAGCAGAGGGCAACGAATCGTGGAGCTAGATAACAAAATACCATGATCCAACGTTGTGCTAACAAACGAGAAAACGCTGTACGGTCTATCACAGCCACGCGGATGAGGTGTGGATGAGATGTATGTCGTCCCGTGCCGTTGTGCTGTTGTTTGTGCCACTACCAGGTTTTCGCCTCATTTGCTTCTCCTCTGCCCGTTTCTTCGAAACACGCATCACTGTTGTGGTGTTACACTGCAATCGGGCTGCGATTTCTCGATACGAAAACCCACCCTCTCGCATACCAGCGATGCGGCTTCGTACAAACTCCGTTAGTTGTTGGTATGGCTTCCTCCGCTTTTTACGAGGCATATTGACCACCAATGAAACGTTTACCGCAGACAGAGGAAGATACAATAAACAGATTTTAATGCATCTTTACAGTCCTTTATATACCTGAAACAAGCGGCTTTGTAATTCTACTCATTTTCATGTTTTAACTCACTTTACATCTTTTGTAAGTTTGGATTAATTTGCACAATTCCTTCATGGTGTCGCAATTATTACAAACATGAGTGTATAATGTTTAGGTGCTTAACTTTTAAACGTTTAACGTAGCGTGATGTTTAATGAACTTTTTCTTAATTCTTCCCTATTATCTGACATTTTTGCTTATCCGACATATTGCCCACCCTTTTAGGTCGGATAATCCAGACTCTACTGTATATGTAAAGTCGTATTTAAAAAAAAACACCTATATTTATGAAAATTAGAAAAAAAAACCTAGAAACCAAGAGAACGTCGAAAAACCAGATCTGAGCTAGGAGTGGTAACTCTGCTCACGATAGGTCTCGTTCTCATTCTTCAATCTTCTTTGGTATCGCTGGTTTTGAGCGCGATCTTTGAGATTTCGCCGGTCACGTCCATGGCCACGAAGCGTCCACGATGCTGCTAGGTTTGCCGATTGGGGGGAAGTGTCGCGACAGTCGAGCGGTCAGCACTGTCGTGTGGGAGTGAAAAAACTTTACTGAAACAGGTCCTCCATCGTATACCGTTTGATAAATATAGAAATTTTCCTTACAAATTTCTTGATAAACGAAGTAGTACCACAAAGCGCGCGGATAAAGTCCGAAATAAAGTTCGAAAAATTCGGTTTTCGTTACTTGTGGATGGACGCTGTCGGTGAAATATTCCGTAGGCCCGGGGGCGTTGATTACGGCTTTCGGCGGCTTCTCGTTGGACGAACTGACGAATCTGTAGATCGCTAGGAAGCACCCAGAGAACGATGCTTCCACGATATTCCAAAATGTTCTTTGTTTTTTTCAAAGATCGGGAGCATCTAGATTCGGTGCTCGATGCCATGAGTACCTACAAGTCTGGATTTTTTATGCGCGCATGATTTGAGTACTTAATACTCTGCGCCAAATTGCAACTCCTGACAGGGAGTTGCAATTTGGCGCAGAGTATTAAGTGCTCAAATCAAGTCCAAGTCCCCTGTACTCTTTCATACCTGTACGCTGATAAGACAGCACGCAATGCGATTTTATAAACAACACAGTCTTGTCAATTACAAGAAAGTTCTTGAAATTGGTTTTACCTTATACTTTAATTATAATTTTTGTCGCCGAGTTAACTCTTTGTGAAATTACTTATTTTCAATAAGTTGTTTAGAAAAACATTATATTACTTCAGGATAATAATAATAATATCATTGAAATGCAAGATTATATAATTATTTTCAATTACACTTTTAGTAAATTATGCCTACCGCGAAAATAGTGCCTCCCATATCTCTGATAACATCTTCTTCGGATATTAAACCTTGTTTGACATGCAAATCCAACAGGGAATCGATAACACGCTGTTTTGTTTTGGTCTTTGGTTCTTCTTCATTACAGGTCTCTTTGTCTAAGGAATGTTGCTGCTGCTGCATTTTTTTTACCAAATTTTCTTTTTTTCTCTTAAACAGCTACACATTAAATTAAATCATTTGTTATATAAATCAAAACAAAAATTCTATTTACTAGTTGAGTTTACCTTTTCGTTGAAACGATGAAATATTTCAACGTCTCTCTTGTAATTTTTTCCTATTTTACTCATGAAGAAAATTGGAAAAAACCAGTACATTGGATTTACTAACCATGCAGGAAAACATTTCAGAATTCTAAATTTTAATGTAAATTATTATTATATCAAAAGATAATTAATGCAAAGGTTGGATAAGAAATAGAAATAAACAATTGTCAACTATTAAATCTACATAAATTTTAAAAGTATATTTCGTGTGAAAATCATAATAGAAATTTATTAAATTGAAATAATTTAAAATTTACTTTAAATCATGCATTTGTGTAAAAGTTTTTTTTCTTATTTTTGTATAAAAAAATGCTAGAANTTCTTATTTTTGTATTTAAAAAATGCTAAAAAACTTCGCATTTATTTCATAACGTAATTGATTTATTTTTAAAAAATATTAGAAATAAGTTGATAAACTGTATATTTTGAAATTTTGTTTGGATGTTTAACCGTTGAGTGTTCGCTATCATAAAGACTTCTCCTATAGAACTGCGACAACAGGAAAAAAATACAAAAATGGATAAATACTACTGATTTTATTGTAACAACGGTATGCGTTGCGGAAAGTGGACTTGTTACACTTTTGTCCTTCATGTTACAAACTGTGTCTTGTGTGTAGAAATATATAAAGTTTAAAACAATATAACTGATAATTAATTCTAAAATCCTAAATCCATACTAAATGAACACATTCTATTCGTTTAGAAACGATCTCCTTCATACTTCTTCGTACACATTTTTTATAAGTCTTTATGATGATCAGCAGGTATAGCATTAACACTTCATTTATAGTTTACAAAGCTTTAATATTCGGTTATTGATCCACAATCTAAATTTAGTATGTTTCATGTTTCTTCTACGGAAGTCGACTCGTACATTTTAAAAATTTCATCAGATATAAATTAACTTTATATTATTTAATACATTTGTAAATATTATTTGAAAAATAAAAAAATATATTTGGAAATGAATTTTCCTTACCTTCGTAATGCAGAAACATATTTTTGATCGTTCGTAGTCTGAGAATTTATAGAAACTCCTACTGTTAGGTCTACATAGAAATAAATTGATATTTATATTTTATAAATGAATAAATATACGTCGTTTTAAAATCATATTAAGTTTCGGGAAGGTATCGCGGAACAAAGTAGTTTCACTAAAAGAGAACAGTACTAAACGAAAAAAACAGGAAAATATTCAGTTTGATTGTGAAAAATTGGTTAAAGTCAGCTATGGTTCTACCTACTGTCGATAGCCAGGGACAGTGTTTAGAAAAATGACAGTTATATGACAGTTATACAAGAAAGGAAGTCGTCCTGTGTAAAATGGTAAAAAAAACTTTTTGAATTCCTGCCTCTGTTCATCGTTGGTTTCGTTAAGGAAAGTTCACTTGCTTACTTTTTTTTGCAGTGACATATATATGTATATATATCCGCTAAAGCTCGGAAACTCGTTAATCTGCAGATTA